GAAGGATTTTTGTCTCTATGTTCCATAAAATACACCAGTCTGGTATTCTTTTGTAATGTTTTTCTCTGGTCTTCATTGTCAGGGTTATAGTGGCCTTATAAAACAATGTGGGATGTATTCTTCCTATATTTCTGGAAGAATTTGTGTAAAATTGGTATGACTTTTTCTTAAATGTTTGTTAGAACATGCCAGTAAAATAAATCATCAAGGCCTAGGGTTTTTTTGCAAGGAAATATTTGGTAACAATTTCTTTGATGTTTATGAGGGCTTTTTAGAATATTATTTCATCTTATGTCAGTTTTGGTACTACATATTTTTCAAGGACTATATTTCATATAATGTCAAATTTATTGACATAATATTGAGCATATTTCCTTTTGCTTTTGATGTCCGTGGTATCTATAATGTCTCTTTCATTCCTGATAATAGCGATTTGTATTTTGTCTTTTTAATCAATTTTATTAATTTTCTTAATCTTTTCAAATAATCAGTTTTTAGCTTTGTTAATTTTGTCTTTTATCTATTTTCTTTTATTGATTTCTACTCTCATTATTCTTCCTTATATTATCTTCTTTGACCCATGGGTTATTTAGAAGTGCATTGCTTAATTTCCACGTATTTGAGGCTTTCTTAGATAATGTATTGTAGCTTATTTCTAACAAAGTTACACATTCTGTAAGGTTTCAGTTTTGAAATTTATTGAAACTTGTTTTATGGGCCTGGCAACATGGCTCACACCTGTAATCCTGGCACTTTGGAGGGCTAAGATGGATGGATAGCTCGAGCCCAGGAGTTCGAGACCAGCTTGGGCAATATTTCAAAACCCCATCTCTACCAAAAAAATACAAACGTTTGCTAGGTATGGTGGAGCATTCCTGTATTCCCAGCTACGTGGGAGAAAAACTTGAGCCCAGGAGGCGGAGGTTGTAGTGAGCTGAGATTATACCACTGTGCTCTAGCCTAGGCAATACAGCCAGACCCTGTCTCAACAAACGAAACTTTAAATTTGTTTTGTGGTTTAGCAACATGGTTAGTCTTATTCCATATGCCTTTGAAAAGAAGGTATATTTTGCAGTTGTTGGATGTAATTACTGATATGCTTACAATTAGTAGTTGTTAATTTAGGTCTCCTATTTTGCTATCTGTTTTCTGTTTGTCCCTCTTTTTTGTTGTTCCTCTGTTCCTAATTGTAGGGTTAATTAAAATTGTAGCATTTCATTTTGATTTTTTTTTTTTGGCTTTTTAGCTATTCTATTGCATTTTTTAAAATGGTAAATCTGGATTATAATATGCATCTTTAACTTGTCAAAGTCTGTTTTTAGTACTTCACATAAAATAAATGAATGTTGCATTTATAGTTACATTTATTCCTTTCATCCTTTGTGCTTCTTGCACCTATAAACATTATAAACCTTACAATGCAATGTTACAGTTTTTTGCTTTAACATGTTAGTCTTTTAAAGACATCAAGAAAAGATAGGAAAAAATACATATAACCATTGATATTAAACCACACATATCTTGCTCCCAGTGATCTTGATTCTTTCCTGGATTAGAAGTTAGCAAGCTTTTTCTGTAAAAATCCAAGTAGAAAATATATGTGCAGTCTTTGTTGCAAATTGTTTTTCTTTTAATTTTTTTTCTTTCTTTCTTTGAGATGGGGTCTTGCCCTGTCTCTTGCCCAGGCAGGAGTGCAGTGATATAACCACAGCTCACTGCAGCCTTGACCTTCCAGGTTCAAACAATCTTCTCACCTCAGTCTCCCAAGTAGCTGAGACTACCAGTGCATGCCACCATGACTGGCTAATTTTTAAATGTTTTGTAGAGATGGGGTCTCACTGTGTTGCCAGGACGGGTCTCAAACTCCTGGACTCAAGTGATCCTCCTGCCTCTTCCTCCCAAATACAGGGATTACAGGCGTGAGCCACCAAGCCCGGCCTTCTTCTTTTTTAAAATAGCTGTTTAAACATGTAAAAGATCATTCTTGGCCAGGTGCAGTGGCTCATGCCTGTAATCCTAGCACTTTGGGAGGCTGAGGCAGGCAGATCACGAGGTCAGGAATTCGAGACCAGCCTGACCAACATGGTGAAACCCTATCTCTACTTAAAAAAAAAAAAATTAGCTGGGCATGGTGGCGTGCACCTGTAATCCCAGCTACTCAGAAGGCTGAGGCAGGAGAATCACTTGAACCCGGGAGGCAGAGGTTGCAGTCAACCAAATTCACGCCACTGTACTCCAGCCTGGTCAACAGAGCTTGACTCCATCTAAAAAAAAAATCTTTCTTACTTTGCAGGTTGAACCAGAGGCTGTGGGCCATCGTTCTTGACTTTTACTGTGGTTACTAATTATTAGTTCTCTCAGTTTATGTTAATCTGAAAATATTTTTATTATCTATGGCCATACCACCCTGAATGTCCTGATCTCATCTGAAAATGTTTTTATTTTGCACTCATTTTTTTTCTTCCTTTTTTTATTCTGGGAAAAACACACTTTTTCTCTACATTTTCATGCAGTGCTACTGACACCAGATATGTGAGTTTTTTTTCACCCTAAGGATTTCTCCAACTGTGAACACTGGCTAAGTATCTTGCAATTTAATTCTGACTCTGTCTACCTGGAGTTATTGTCAGAATCCAAAGGCTAACAGCTCAGACTCACAAGTCTGCCCCCCGACTTTAGACACCAATTGCGATTAGTAGTCATCTATACTTCTGACTGACCAGCTATGTATTGGGGTCTCCAGTAGTTCCTCCTTGGGTTGGATTAACTTGCGAGGACAGCTTACAGAACACAGGGGAACACTTATATTTACTGGTTTATTATAAAGGATATTGAAAAGGATAGAAAGAACAGCCAGATTGGAGACAATAGGGCAAGGTATGGGAGAAAGGGTGAGAAGCTTCCATGTTCTCTCTGCGCATACCACCCTCCTAACACCTGAGTCCCTGGGTGCAGTTCCAGCAACTTGGAAGTTCATTAAATCTCAAATTTTTATAGGGGCCAGGCATGGTGGCTCATGCCTATAATCCCAGCACTTTGGAAGACTGAGGCAGAGAATTACTTGAAGCTAGAAGTTTGAGACTAGACTGGGCAGCATACCAATATGCTGTCTCTACCAAAAAAAGGGAAAAACAAAACAAAACAAGAAGTTGCCAGGTATAGTGGCTTGAGCCTGTAGTTGCAGCTACTCAGGAGATTGAAGTGGGAGGATTGCTCAAACCCAGAAGTTTAAGGTTGCAGTGAGCTGTTATCAGGCCACACTCCAGCCTGGGTGACAGAGCTAGACCCTTTCTCAAAAAACAAAACAACAAGGCCGGGCACAGTGGCTCATGCCTGTAATCCCAGCACTTTTGGAGGCTGAGGCAGGTGGATCACCTGAAGTCAGGAGTTCGAGACCAGCCTGGCCAACATAGCGAAACCCCTTCTCTACTAAAAATACAAAAATTAGCTGGGCATGGTGGCACACACCTGTAGTCCCAGCTGCTCAGGAGGCTGAGGCAGGAGAATTACTTGAAACGGGGAGGCAGAGGCTACAGTGAGCTGAGATCACACCACTGCACTCCAACGTGGGCGACAGAATTTGGAAGCTCTTCCAGTCCTTTTGGTTTTTTGTGGAGACTTCATTACATAACCATGATTGATTACATCATTGGCCACTGCTGATCAGTTCACTATCCCCAGAGCTGGGGGTGGGGCTTTAAGTTTCAACCCTTTAATCACGTGCTTGGGTCCCCTGGCAACCAGCTTCCATCCTAAAGCAGTCTTGAAGCTCCCAGCCGTCAGTCACCTTGTCAGAACAAAAGACTTGGCTGGGCACAGTGGCTCATGCCTATAATCCCAGTACTTTGTGAGGCGGAGACAGGAAGATTGCTTGAGCCCAGGAATTGGAGACCAACCTGGGCAACATGGTAAAACTCCATCTCTAAAAAAGATTCAGAAATTAGCCCTCCATGGTGGCACACACCTGTACTCCTAGCTACCAGGGAGGTTGAGATGGTAGGACCACTTGAGCCCAAGAGGTTGAGATTGAGGAGGTTGAGGTTGAGGCTGAGGCTGCAGTGAGCCATAAGCGTGCCACTGCACTCCAGCCTGGCTCAATTAAAAAAAAAAAAAAGACTTCTGTCACCCAAGGGATTTCTGTGGCAGTAACTAAGGCTAAAGACTAAATTTTAGCACATCTGCTGGTACCCTCATCTACAAGAGTTTTAGGAGCCTGGTGTCAGGAACCAACATAGATTCATTTTACATTTCCCGTTTCATTTCATGGAATTGTCCAGGTTATCTTAACCTATCATCTATAAATATATCTATCTGGCAATATGATTAAAGCAAGTGAAACAACTCAGGGCACCCCAAGCAACCTTTTGAGGCTCTTACTCTTGAGTCAGGATTTCTCATGGACCATATGCGTTGTGTGAATACCAGAAATAGGGGCTATGTGAGGAGACCTGTATCATTCTGTCCAGTGAACCAGTAGAATGTTTAATTTCCCTTTTTAGTTAAAATTTAAATAGAAATGTAAGTTCTAATATTGTCGTCTTGCATTGCAGTTGATATTTTTGCCTTTCTAGGGGTACATATATGTCACTTTGAAGACCTTTGGTCTCAAATACCTGTTTGGAAGAAATTATTTGAAATTCCAATATATGAATCTTAGGAATTCATAAATATTTTGAATCTATTTCATATACATCTATGTGTTTTAACATGCAATGTGATTTTCACAAATCTATGGAAAAAAATCATTACATTAAAATTTACTGTTCTAATAATGTGCCTTGAAAAACTTCCTAGTACACATCCATTATGGAGAAGCAGGTCCTTCAACTGCTTTCATTGATCAGAGATCTGACAGATCTTTGGGAATGATACTTCCTTTTTTAAAACACCAAGAAACTTTACTATTATAATTCTTCTAGGGTGGATTCCGATTTGAAATAATTCTGTTGTATATAGTTATTTTCTGACACTCTGATTTTTTTTTTTCTTTAACTTTACAGAGACTGTGCAGTTGATCCAACTTGTGTTTTGTGCATGGAGTGCTTTTTGGGAAGTATTCACAGAGATCATCGATATAGGGTTAGTAATGTCCAAATAATAACCATGCCCAGTATTGCATTTTATAATAAATTTCTTTCTTTTTAAAATGCAAAAATTTAACACTGAAATGGGGGGAGGGTGATTTAAACAGTATATTTATTTAAATACCATGGGACATAGGATGGCAATGTAGAAACAAATTATGAATGCACACTTCTTGGAGCATATGATTTTAAAAAGGTAATAGAGATATCGGCTCTTCTGTATTGCTTTTCATCTAGTTTGTTTTTGTTGTGCTATTTTTAAATGTTTATTAAAGGGCATCTCCTACATTGTAGGGAACTGTTGTTAGATGGAACTTTTCACCCTAATCATAAAATAGAATGGTAGAGAAGGAATATTTAAATATTCTTAATTCAGGAGCCCATGTGGGTCAAAGCTTTTTCTCCTGTTTGTTTTTGTTTATTCTACCCAAGAGTTCATAATAATGAACTAAAACAGTTACAGGGCTGGGTGTGGTGGTTCACACCTGTAATCCCAGCACTTTGGGAGGCCGAGGTGGGGAGATCACTTGAGGTCAGGAGTTTGAGACCAGCCTGACAAACATAATAAAACGCTGTCTTTATTTTAAAAAACATTAAAATTAGCCAGGCATGGTGGCACATGCCTATAATCCCAATACTTGGGAGGCTGAGGCAGGAGAATCACTTGAACCTGGGAGGCAGAGGTTACAGTGAGCTGAGATCACCCCACTGCACTCCAGCCTGGGCTACAGAGCGAGACTCCATCCCAAAATAAAAAATGTAAATAAATTAAAAACAGCCACATAATTGGGCTACTTATATTCTTGTCTGTTCATTAGTCTCATAAATCAGTAAAAGAGGCTGAGTTTCCTTTAAGCTGTTCTGCCTGTGTTTGATAACTGAAAAAAGTCATTTTCCAAATGACTCCTACCCGCGTTTCTTGGCATATATCTTTGCATTCCCTGGGAATAGCTGTCATTTGTGGGGTTACATTAGTTATATTGTGATATATAACACACAAATACTTACTTTGGGCAGAATATAATATGACTTATTCTAAAATTTGCTGTATCTAATACCTGTTACTAGGCTCTTCCTCATAGTATTTTAAGAAAAGCAGAATTTCTAGTCTATCAGTTGTTAATCTGGTTCTGTGATGTCAGATTTCCCAAATCATTGCACTGTCTTTAAGGAAGCATGAATAATTCCTGAACCTTGCAGGTGGTGAAGAGTTTTTATTATCAAGCAGTCTATTTCTTATTTCCTGAGCCCCTATTACCTGTCCTTTCAAAGAGTGGCTATTTAGGGAGTATTAGAGAAGAAAAATTGGCCGGGCGAGGTGGCTCACGCCTATAATCCCAGCACTTTGGGAGGCCGAGGCGTGTGGATCACGAGGTCAAGATATCGTGACCATCCTGGTCAACTTGGTGAAACCATGCCCAGGCTGGAGTGCAGTGGGGTGATCAGCCACCATGCCTGGCTAATTTTAATGTTTTTTAAAATAAAGACAGGGTTTTAATTTTCTACTAAAAATACAAAACTTAGCTGGGCATGGTGGTGCACGCCTGTAGTCCCAGCTACTCGGGAGGCTGAGGCAGGAAGATTGCTTGAACTCAGAAGGCGGAGGTTGTGGTGAGCTGAGATTGTGCCATTGCACTCCAGTCTGGGTAACAAGAGCGAAACTCCGTCTCAAAAAAAGAAAGAAAAATTAACTCTTTCTATAGCATTTGATGGTTAATTTCTCCAAAGCAAATGCAGCACTCTTAAGACTGTTTTAGGAGACAGCAGCTATAGGAATCTGTGTAACCCCTGAGTCTATTATGTTTATAGCATCACAACCTATAGCATAGATATCAGCATTATACCACTTTAACCAAAACCCAACAGGAAAACCCTTGTGATCCTCATGATTTTCCTAATTAAGGAAGTCATGTAGGCAAACATATCTTCTTTTAAATATCTGTAGCTAACATTACAAAGTAGCTTATTTTATTTTGAAATCACTAGCTTATAGTTTTACTTAAAATATACTTTAAAACATTGAGAGGTTTGGCATTTTATCTAATGTTATGCCTCCAAAGACATTAAACACTTAAGCAATGGTATTTCCTGAGCACTTCATATTCTTATTTATTATCTGATAGCCCCCCATAAATATTTATTGACAAGATACTTTACAATTTTTTCCAAGATGACAACATCAGGAGGTGGAGGTTTCTGTGACTGTGGTGATGCTGAAGCTTGGAAAGAGGGTCCTTACTGTCAGAAACATGAACTTAACACCTCTGAAATTGAGGAAGAAGAGGTAAAAACATTTTCACAAAGTTGTTTAACCCACATTTGATATATTTTTAGAAACAGTCATTTGATGATATGAGAAATGGATAAGCAAATAGTACTTCCACTATTGACAGCAACTAGTTTACTTTGAAAGTTCTTTGCATTTTGTGAATGTCTATTGTTGCTAATAGTACACAGTTGAAATTCTGAACATTTTGTTTAATTCTGATTTTTTATTTGGTTGGGGTTTTGTTTTAAGCATACTTGAAGTTTATTTGAGTACTAATTTATGATAGAGGGGATTATTTTTCCTATATGTGTAGACCACTTAACTAAGTTGAATTTTGTATATCTCCGTTATAACAAAGACCTCCTGAGCCAGATAAGTTTCTTTTCTGTTACTATACATGACAGGCAACCCCAATCATTCTCTCCTGGTTAATCCATTATCACTGGATATGTGATGAGGCCATGTGTAGTGATGATAGCTCAGTACAAATAATTCCCACTGCTCACTGTTTTTCAAATTGTTGATCCTGGGGGCCGGGCGCGGTGGCTCATGCCTATAATCCCAGAACTTTGGGAGGCCGAGGCGGGTGGATCACGAGGTCAAGAGATCAAGACCATCCTGGTCAACAAGGTGAAACCCCATCTCTACTAAAAATACAAAAATTAGCTGGGCATGGTGGTGCGCGCCTGTAGTCCCAGCTACTCAGGAGGCTGAGGCAGGAGAATTGCTTGAACCCAGAAGGCGGAGGTTGTGGTGAGCCGAGATCGTGCCATTGCACTCCAGTCTGGGTAACAACAGCGAAACTCTGTCTCAAAAAAAAAAAAATACAAATTGTTGATCCTGCATTATTTTTCTCAATATTTCTAATGGAATAGTAGACTCCCATAAAATAATGCTTAAATCTCTGCTGCCTTTTTAAAGAAGATTCAAAAACTTTTCATATATTTCTGATAACTCACTTAACTATAATTATACAATGATAAAAATCTTTCAATGGTATACTACAATAGATTATAAAAAACAAAATTGTTTTTTAATTGACACAGAATTGTACATATTTATGGGGTACAGTGTGATATTTATGGGGTGCAGTGTGACATTTTGATACATTTATATGATGTATAATGATCAAATTAGAGTAATTAGAATATCCATCACCTCAAACATTTAACATTATTTTGTACTGGAAACTTTCACAATCAGCTCTTCTAGCTATTTGAAAATATACAGTCAATTGTTGTTAATTATAGTTGTGCTGTAGAGCATTAGAATTTACTCTTTCTATCTAGCTTCGTTCTTATGTCCATTAGCCAACCTGTGGCTATCCCTCTTCTGCTGCTTTTTATGACAATTTGTTGTATGATTCAAGATCCTTCTTTGAGATTTTATTATTTTTAAATGGCAGGGGAATAGATACACCCAAGTACTTCTACATTGTTAGTAGGCCTGATACAGATTGGGGGCAAGTTGATGTTAATAGTCCTTCCTCAGCCTGGCAGGGTGAATCACTTTAGCTTGGGAGTTTGAGACCAACCTGGGCAAATGGCAAAACCCCATCCCTACAAAATTTTTTTAAAAAATTAGCTGGGTGTGGTGGCACATGTCTATGGTCCCAGCCACTCAGATCGGGGGTGCTGAAGTGGGATCCACTTGAGCTATGGGAGGCAAAGGTTGCAGTGAGTCAAGATTGTGACCCTGTCTAAAAACAAAGTTATTCCTGGTACCCATAACCTACAGATTTCAAATAGATTTTAGCAGAATGATCAAGGCTTTTGATGTAGTATAGTATCTTTTAGGCTGTTTCTCTGTTTTGTACAAATCAAAATTTGTACAAAATGATTCAGTGCTATGGAAAACATGTTTTGTTTGTGTTTCCTTTGTATTGTGAAAGTGTTCTATAATTTGCTATAGTAAGATGCCAAGTGGTCAAGATTCCAGATTTTTCCACTTCTCTTGGAGAAGCTCCATTTTTATATATTTGATTGGAGTTCTGTATGTGGAAATACAGGACAAATAAAGCTATATTTGGAAAGAACTGTGCTTTAGAAAAAGGTTAAAAACCACTGGTATAAAACTTTAGGACAGTGAGGGAAAGTATATATCCATATATCCAAGCCATATATCCAATAAGGATCTAATATCCAGAGTTTATATCTTGCAACTCAACAATAAAAAAATAAACCAATTTAAAAATGGGCAAAAGACTTGAATAGACATTTTTACAGAGAAGATATATGAATGATCAAACATATGGTGAAAAGATGCTAAACATCATTAGTCATTAGGGAAATGCAAAATCAAAACCACAGTGAGATACTGCTTCATACTCAGTAGGATGACTATTAAAAATAATAATAGCTCACACCTGTAATCCCAACACCTTGGGAGGCCAAGGTGGTTGGATCACAAGGTCAGGAGATAGAGACCATTCTGGCTAACACAGTGAAACCCCATCTCTACTAAAAATACAAAAAAATTAGCCAGGCATGATGGCACGTGCCTGTAGTCCCAGCTACTTGGGAGGCTGAGGCAGGAGAATTGCTTGAACCCAGGAGGCAGAGGTTGCAGTGAGCAGAGATCCACCACTGGGATCAGCCTGGGTGACATAGAGACTCTGTCTCAAAAAAATATTAAAAATAAAAAATAATAATAAGTGTTGACAAGGATATAAAGAAATTAGAACCCTTGTATATTGCTGGTGGAAATGGAAAATGATTCAGTGCTGTAGAAAACAGTTTGGCTATTCCTCAAAGTATTAAACATTACCATATCATTTTGAATTTCATACCTAGATATATACCCCAAAGAACTGAAACCAGAAGTTGAGCAAGTACATGCACACACATGTTGTAGCAATGTTGTTCCCAATAGTCAAAAGGTAGAAACAGCCCAAATGTTCATCAGTGGGTGGATGGATGGATGGATGAACAAATTGTGATAATATACATACAATGGAATATTTTTCATCCATAGAAAGGAATAAAGGGTTGGGCACAGTGGCTCATACCTGTAATCTCCGCATTTTGGGAGGCTGAGGCGGGCAGATTACGAGGTCAGGAGTTCGACACCAGCCTGACCAACATGGTGAAACCATGTCTCTACTAAAAGTACAAAAATTAGCTGGGCATGGTGGCATCTGCCTGTATGTAATCCCAGCTATTCAGGAGGCTGACACAGGAGAATTGTTTGAATCTGGGAATTGGAGGTTGCAGTGAGCTGAGATCTCGCCACTGCACTCCAGCCTGGGCGACAGAGCAAGACTCTGTCTCAAAAAAAAAAAGAAACGAGGTACTGATACATGCTACAACATGCATGAACCTCTAAAACATAGTAAGTGAAAGATGCTAGAGTCAAAAGGTCACATATTGTATGATTCCTTTTATATGAAATATTCAGAATAAATAAGTCTATAGAGAGAAAAAATAGATTGGTAGTTTGTCAGTGGCTGGGAAAAAGAAAATGGAGAGAAATGGCTTAGTAGATAAGAGGTTTTACTTTGGAGTGATGGAAATGTTTTGGCACTAGATTGTAGTAGTTGTACATTATAATATACCAAGTACCACTGACTTGTTCACTTTAAAATAGTTAATTTTATGTTCTGTGAATTTCTTGTTATTTATATGGAAAAAATACTTTAGGACTTCTGTTATCTTTTTTATCCTTGTGTTAGAGTAGACTTCAGAACTTTCTTAGAAAGTTATTTTAATCTGCTTACATACATTTGCTCTGTTGGCTTTATCCTCATACATTAGTGGGATGACTATCAAACAGTCCAAGCTCTGGTTAATTTCCTAAATTTTAAGAAAACGCCAGCAAGCTCACCTGCCTAGCCAAAAGTCATACACTTCTTCCTGGAAAATGTATACTCCTGGAACTAGACAGAGAATAAAGCTTCCAAACTTTACCATTAATTTATATTTAGGAGTTTAATTAAGGCCAGGTACAGTGGCTAATGCTGTAATCTCAGCACTATGGAAGGCCAAAATGAGCAGATCACTTGAACCCAGAAGTTCAAGACCAGCCTGAGCAATATGGCAAAACCCTGTCTATACAAAAATTAGCCAGGCGTAATGCTGTATGCCTGTAGTCCCAGCTACTTGGGAGGCTGAGGTAGGAGGATCACCAGAGCCTGCCCGGGGAGGTTGAGGATGTGGTGAGCCATGATAGCACCACTGCACTCCAGCCTCCACAACAGAGTGAGACCCTGTCTCAAAAATTAAAAAAAAAGTTTAAGAGAAATGAAGTCTTCCAGGGTAAGACTTTAAGATATTAAGATAGCATTATGTTTAGCAGTAACTATTGAACATAATTTTTTTTTTGTCATACATTTAGCCTACATCTTCAGAAAAAGCTGGGGGGAACCTGGTAATTACTTATAGAAATACTATTTAAGAGTTCCACAGGTCTTTGCAACTCTGCATTTGGGGGTGGGATAGTTCTTCATTGTATAGGACAGGATTTAGCAAGCTCTGATTCCTGCAAGCCAAATCTGGTCCACAACCTGTTTTTGTGTCTGTTTTTAAATAGTTGAAAAAAAATCAACAGAATTGTATTTTGTGACATGAAAAAATTACGTGAAATCCAAATTTCAGTGTCCATAAATAAAATGTTATTGAAGCACAGGGATGCTTAAGTTTTAATGTAATATTTGTAGCTGTTTTCCCATTACAGAAAGACCCTAAGTGTAAGTTATTGAAAGCGTTGTGTTTAGCCTGCAGTTTCCCCCTCCCTAAATGTCACTAGCATCTTCCTCTACAGTGACAACAAAAAATGCCCAGCTAGGTTTCCAAATGGCCCCTTGGGTGTGGGAGTGAGTGGGGAGGGTGGTGAGATGTCCCCCTCCCTATTGAGAACCACCACATAATGTGAGGTATCTCCTCTGCTAGTCTTTATAGGAGCCCATAAGGAATTTCTCTTTGGTCTCTGTATTAGGAAATGTTACATTTCTCCTGGTGTGAATCTGGTAAATGTGTTTCCTTTTAATGAGACTTCTGGAAAAAGAGCCAAATGGTTGGAAACAGCCTGTCTGTAGTAGCTGTGTGGAAATTTATGTGATCTCTGTTTATAAATAGATGTTACCTTGACTGCAGTTTATGTTCCTATCTTTATTTCCTTTACCTGCTTTGTACATCTTTTTTTTTTGTATACCACTCTTTTAGGTGTATTTCTTTCTTTTTTTTTTTTAAGTGTATTCTTTAAAAAAAAAATTAATTTTTAATGACATGGTTTTTGTTACTGTGTTGCCTAGGCTGATCTCTTAACTCCTGAATTTAATCATTGTCTCAGCCTCCCAAGTAGATGTATTCTTAAGTTGCTGTAAATCCTATTTGGAATGAGATTTAATTAAATAAGAAATATTAACTGAACAACAACCTTAGTGAAATTTTTGTAATCTGAAATTTCTCTCACAAATGCTGCTCCCGTCCATTTGAATTCAGATCAGTAATTATTAATAACCAGATGTTAACACTGATTACTTGGTCTATCTCGTTTAATTCTCATAACAGGTTTTAGACTGAGGTGGAGAATCACTTTGAGCCCAGGAATTTGAGGTTACAGTGAGATAGGAGCTCGATGCGGAATGAAAATTAATGTACATTTAACATGGTTGCCCCCTTTTATTTTTTTTCCTGTTTTTTCTTTCAGGATCCTCTTGTTCATTTATCAGAAGATGTGATAGCAAGAACTTACAACATTTTTGCTATTATGTTTCGGTATGCAGTGGAGATATTAACCTGGGAAAAAGAAAGTGAATTGCCAGCAGATTTAGAGATGGTGTAAGTGTAACCTGTTTATTCTTTGTGTTTGAAGAACTACTAGATTTTAACTTTAACACAGCTAGTGTAGGGCATAATCATTTTTTAAATAATGAGTTTTTAGCAGAACAATAACCTTGATTTTATAGTTCTAACACATATGTGGTCCACTTACTTGGTGGAGATTTCTCCCTGTTTGGTTGGTTGATTGGTTGATTAGTTGGTTTGTAGCCATATTTAAACTATGTCATAGCTCTAGGACTGGTTTCAGGCATAACTAGTTTTCTGCTCTTTGATGGTATGATAAAATGACAGATTAACTTTACAATTCTAGTTTTTGTTTTATTATATATTAGTATCGTTAGGGAATGAACTCTGATATAAATGAGTTTTCTGGTTTGAATAAATGCTCAAATTCAGTTTTAATCGTTTTGATTCTAACTTTTAATAAAATATATTCTACACTGTGCTTTTTTAGCATACATATACCATTTTTACGTAAATTACCGAGGTTACAAACTTGTGACCAGAGATCTGGATTCTGCCACGTATATATCAAGATTAGGACTTTCTTTTCCTTGTTAGTGTGCTCGTCTCAAACAACTTTCTTTCTTGGAAGTAAGACCAAGCTTGTTGGAATTACAGTCATAGTTTAGAATGAATACAAGCTGGAATGAGGATCTGAGGGGCATTGGTGGTATTTCTTTTTTGCTCTCAATTTTCAGATAAAGTTATAGGTTAAGTGTTTTCTAATAAAATGAGGTGACTATACCTTTTTGGAAATGATGGTGATAACTTAGTACCTCATGACTTTTACTGTAGTATTGTTGTGTGGAATACTATAGTAGACTATAGTAACTTAGTCCAAATTAATTTCATTTGGGGCATCATGGGCTCCTAACTAGACCACCATGTACACTCTTGCCCCTCACAGTTCATTTTCTATACAGCAGCCAAAGTCAACTTTAAGGCAGTTCTGGTCATATCTCCTATCTGAAATTTTTGATTGCCCTTAGGATAGCAAAAATCAAAATACCTTATAAGCTGGCTTAGCACAATGGCTCATGCCTGTGATCCCAGCACTTTGGGAGGCCAAGGCAGGTAGATCACTTGAGTTCAGGAGTTGGAGACCAGCCTGGGCAACATAGCAAGACACTATACTATAAAAAATTTAAAAATTAGCTGGGCAGGGTGGTGCAGGAATAGCCTGTAGTCCTAGCTGTTCGTGAGTCTGAGGCAGGAGGATCAATTGAACCTGGGAGGTTGAGGCTGCCGTGAGCCATGATTGTGCCACTGCACTCCAGCCTGGGCAACAGAGTGAGACCCTGTCTCAAAAAAAAAAAAAATTATAAGTTGTTCAAGATTTCTGCCTCTCTCCAGACCAGACTGATCGTATACTAATTTCCCCCTTCCTTCTTGTGCTCCATCTCCCAGTATTTACCTTTGCCACTTTAGCACCTTTGCTTTCACATTCCTCTCTCCAGGGTTTCTCAACCTTGGCACTATTAGAATTAGGGGCCAGATTAATTCTTTGTTATGGAGGCCCTCTGGTAAATTGCAAGATGTTTAGCAACATCCCTGGCTTCTAGCCACTAGATGCCAGCAGCACCCCAAGCCCCAGTCTTGACAACCAAAAATGTCTGCAGATGTTGCCAAATGGTCAACTATGGGAAATGGAGGGGAATTGCCCATGATTGAGAGCTACTGATAGCCAATTCTGACTTCGGGTCTCAGATTACTTCTCTTAAGAGTTCTTCTCTGAGCTCCCAGGCCTGTTATACCCTGCTCTACCTTCTTTTTTTCTTGATTAAAAACCTGTTTACACAGAGTCATATGTGCAACATATATTTTCCCTACCAGACTGTAGTATCATAGAGCACAGGGACCACAGATGAATTCCTTACAGATATGTGTCCAGTACCTAGCACATCACATAGGACAGAGTAGCCTCTTAATAAGTCAGCCTGGAGCAAGATAATGTGCAAACAGATAATGAATATTTCATTCATATTTTATCACACAGAGAGAAGAGTGACACCTACTATTGCATGCTGTTTAATGATGAGGTTCATACCTATGAACAAGTTATTTATACTCTTCAGAAAGCTGTTAACTGTACACAAAAAGAAGCTATTGGTTTTGCAACTACGGTAGATCGAGATGTAAGTAGTTTTACCATGTTGATAATAAATTCTATTTTTACTATAGGTAAGTTACCCTGGAAAATTGAGTTTAAAATGTATATATAAATACATATATATATATATAGGCTTTTCTTAAAATTTCATTTGTCACACCTATAATCCCAGCACTTTGGGAGGTGAGGTGGGCAGATCACAAGGTCAGGAGTTCAAGACCAGCCTGACAAACATGGTGAAACCTCATCTCTACTAAAAATATGAAAATTAGCCGGGCATGGTGGCGCACACCTGTAATCCCAGCCACTCAAGAGACTGAGGCAGGAGAATCACTTGAACCCAGGATGCAGTGGTTGCAATGATCCAAAATTGCGCCATTGCACTCCAGCCTAGGCAACAGAGCAAGACTCTGTCTCAAAAAAAAAAAATTTCATTTGAATATTGGCCTAAATATATATTGGGTATAAGCTATTGCCAGATAGAAAGTTTAAGAGGACATATAGTTATGAAAATGGAAATTATAGATGCCTAGAATAAATGTGTTGTTCAAGGAAGTATATTTATTAATGGCTTGGAAAAGTTAGCATAGCTTTGAAGGAAAAATTTAACTTATCAATGAGTAGGATGAACGTTGTAAATATTGAAAATTTATCAGAGTTGTTATATGGTTTTTTTTTTTAATTAATTTTAAAAAAAAGAGAGAGAGATGGGGTTTCACCATCTTGGCCAGGCTGGTCTTGAACTCCTGACCTCATAATCCACCCATCTCTGCCTCCCAAAGTACTGGGATTGCAGGCGTGAGCCACCGCACCTGGCCTATTATATGCTTAAACATGTTTGTTTACTGGTTTGAAAGTTATTAATACTGAATACAATACTTTTACAGCTTAATTTTGAATATCTTTATTTACAGGGCCGTAGGTCTGTTAGATATGGAGACTTCCAGTATTGTGAGCAAGCAAAATCAGTAATTGTGGTAAGTAATTTTAAAGCATGCCTGTATTATTTTTATTAGTGTAAAACTAGCTTCATATTTCAGCATTTATGACCATATCTTTCTGCTTTTGTGAATGAAATCAATGTTAACCAAAATTATGTTTAAAGATGATTCTTGAATATTGCATTATTGTTTTATCTAGTTTTTTAAAGCTAAGATTGATATAGAAAATGAGTATGTAGATAAGATATATTCCATGTCTCCTTCAAAGCAGTCTTAGAATGTTTTTTGCTTTTTGTTTTGTTTTTAATTAGCAGAATTTTCTGTTGCTTTTTAGAAATTAAAATGGCCTTAAGCACCATGATTACAATGTAAGGAAAGTTGTTACTTGATACCTTATGGCAAAATATATTCCATATCCTCACGGCAATTAGTGTATCATCTTTCTAAAAGCAAACTATTCTCCACATTTGGATTTATTTTTAGAATTAGAATTTATTTTCACCACTCCATGTAGCTGAATTTTATGTAAATATTCTTTTTAAAAAATAATTGTTTATGTATCGTAATTTTTTTTTTTTTTTTTTTTTTTTTTTTTTTTTTTTTTTTTTTTGAGAAGGTCTCTAGCCCAGGCTGGAGTGCAGTGGTGCAGTCTTGGCTCCACCTCCTAGGTTCAAGTGATTCTCCTGCCTCAGCCTTCTAAGTAGCTGGGATTGTAGGCACATGCAGCCATGCTCAGCTAATTTTTATATTTCTAGTAGAGATGGGTTTCACTGTGTTTTCCAGGCTGATCTCAAAACTCCTGGGCTCAAGTGATCCACCTGCCTGAGCCTCCCAAAGTGCTGGGATTACAGGTGTGAGCCACCGCACTCAGCCTCAAACTTCTTTAAAATTTTTAAATATATAAAATAGTATGGAGGCCCCTGTATTATCTTTTTTTTTTAGTCAGTCTTACTCTGTCACCTAGGCTGGAGTTTAGTGGCACAATCTCTGCTCACTACAACCTCCGCCTCCCAAGTTCAAGCAATTCTTGCGCCTCAGCTTCCTGAGTAGCTGGAATTACAGGCATGTATGACCGGCTAATTGGTTTTTTGTATTTCTAGTAGAAAGGGGGTTTCACCATGTTGGCCAGGCTAGTCTCAAACTCCTTGCATCAAGTGATCCGCCTACCTGGGCCTCCAAAAGTACTGGAATTACAGGCATGAACCACCAAACCTGGCCTGTATTATCTTTTCACCCCATTACTCTTTCTTTATCCCTAGCGATAATTACCTTGCTTAATTTAGTTTTTTCATTCTTGTGCATTGCTTTATATTTCGTATATTAAATATCCATCAACATTATATAGAATGATTTGAGAACCTTTAAACACTATATAACAAGATACATATTGAATGTATTACACTGCAGCTTGCCTTTTCATTTCGGTGTGATTTTTAGATTTGTCTGTGTTGATACACATTGTTGTAGTTCATTCACTTTTTTAACATTGTGTAGTATTTCATGATGATTAAACCACAAGTTATTTATTCTCCTGTTGATAGATAATTAGGATGTTTTCAGTTTCTTTGTTGTGACAAATACTCCTGCTATGAGCATTATTTGTCTTCTTTTTGTATAGATGCAAAAGTTTCCCTAGGGTATATACCAAGAAATGGAATTCTGAGTTTTTAGGGTATGGACATTCTCAGCTTTACTAGATTTTGCCTAGTTTGTCTCCAAAACTGTGGTACCAATATACTTTCCCATTAGCAGTGTATGAGAGGGCCTATTTCTCCATATCTTTGTTAAAACTATATATTGTCAAATTTTTAAATTTAATCAGTCTGGGCCAGACACTGTGGCTCACACCTGTAAATCTAGCCGAGGCCAGAGGATCCATTGAGGCCAGGAGTTTGGGACCATCCGGGCAACAGAGCCAGACCCTGACTCTACCAAAAAAATTAAAATTAAAAAAATTAGCCAGGCATAATGGTGTGCATGGGTAGTCCTAGCTACTCAAGAGGCTGAGTTTGAAGGATTGCCTGAGCCCAGGAGTCCAAGGGTTCAGTAAGCTTTGATTACACAAGTGCATTCTAGCCTTGGTGACAGAACAAGATCTTGTCATAAGGGGGAAAGAAAAAAACACTTGCCAGTCTGAAGTGTGTGAAATAGTGTTTTATCAGTTATATTTGCATTTTCCTTGATTTTTTTTTTTTTTTTTTTAGACAGAGTCTTGCTCTGTCGCCCAAACTGGAATACAGTGGCACGATCTCAGCTAACTGAAGCCTTCACCTCCCAGGTTCAAGCCATTCTCCTGCCTCAGCCTCCTGAGTAGCTGGGACTACAGGCACACGCCACCACACCCAGCTAATATTTGTATTTTTAGTAGAGACAGGGTTTCACCATGTTGGCCAGGCTAGTCTCGGAACTCCTGACCTCATGATCTGCCCACCTTGGCCTCCCAAAGTACTGGGATTACAGGCATGAGCCACCACGCCTGGCCTGATTTTAACTATCTTATTTTGTATTTATTATATTGGTCATTTAAGTTTTCTTTTTGGCAGATTTCCGTTCATATTCTTATTTTTTCTTATTTTTTTCTGTCAGATTGTCTTTTTCTTATTTAAGTTTTTTGTGGTGCCTTTCATTAAGTAAAAACTTTCAATTTTAATATAGCAAAAGACACATCTTCTTAGGCTGGGCACAGTAGCTCATGTCTAATTCCAGTCCTTTGGGAGGCTGAGGCGGGCAGATCACCTGAGGTCGGGAGTTCAAGACTAGCCTGACCAACAAGGAGAACCCCCCCCGACCCCGTACTAAAAAATACAAAATTAGCCACAGGCATGGTAGCACATGCCTGTAATCCCAGCTACTCAGGAGGCTGAGGCAGGAGAGTCACTTCAACCCACGAGGCAGAGGTTGCGGTGAACCAAGATCACGCCATTGCACTCCAGCCTGGGCAACAAGAATGAAACTCTATCTCAAAAAAATATATATATATGTATATATATATATTTTTTTTCTTTATGTTTTGTATGTTTTATGTCTTGTTATAGAAATTATTTCTTAATGTCTCAACATTCAGTAATATATCAGAAACTACACTTATAGATTATCAAGTAGGGAACAAACAATAAAATAGAAAAATGGACAAAGGATGTGAAAAGACAGATTATAGCAGAGAAAATTAGCTGGTCAATATACATGAAGTTAAAGTGATAAAATATCTTACTTGCAGAGATGCAAAGATTAAGAATACATGTTTAATAGTAAATTCCTACAGCATTTAGGAAAAACAATCTAGTAACATATGTTAAAGCTTTACCTCACCTAGGAATTTATCTCATAGAAATACAAGCATTGTAAGTGTATACAGTGTGTTCAGTACAGTACTGCTTTTTTTGTAGTCACAGAGGACTGGAAACAGAGAAGATGAATCCCCTTCTCTAAATGATGTTTTAGTAATCTGCACCACAGAATATTATGCAGTCGTTAACAGAAAAAATCAGTTAAAGCTAAGATGCACAAAAGCATGTATAGTATTTGATTTTCATAAGTCAAACTCATCTTTAGAAATGTGTATATAAATAATATATGTAAATGGAGAACATATACAAACACTATGTTAATGTATGTAATAGAGAAGGGATGGAACAGAGAGTAAAAGGACCCCAAGAAAAAAAAATGAAAAGGGGTAAACACATTCTTTTTTTTTTGAGACAAAGTCTTGCTGTTGCCAGGTGCCAGACTGAAGTGCAGTGGCGCAGTCTGGACTCACTGCAACCTCCGCCTCCCGGGTTCAAGCAATTCTCCTGCCTCAGCCTCCTAAGTAGCTGGGACTACAGGCGTGCACCACCATGCCTAGATAATTTTTGCATTTTTTAGTAGAGAGGGGTTTCACCATGTTGGCCAGGATGGTCTCAATATCTTGACCTCGTAATCCACCCACCTCGGCCTCCCAAAGTGCTGGGATTACAGGCATGAGCCACTGTGCCCGGCCAACACATTCTTTAAAAAGTGTTGGCAAGGCACATCGGCTCACCCCTGTAATCCCAGCACTTTGGGAGGCCAAGGCAGGCAGATCACTTGAGCCCAGGATTTTGAGACACCAGCCAAGGCAACATGACAAAACACCATTTCTACAGAAAATAATAATAATAAAAATTAGCCAGGTATGGTGGCACACGCCTGAAGTCTCAGCTGTTTGGGAGGCTAAGGTAAGAGGATTGCTTAAGCCCAGAAGGTCGAGGCTGCAGTGAGTTGTTATCACACCGTTTTGCACTTCAGCCTGGGCAACAGAGTGAAACCCTGTTTAAAAAAAAAGGTATTGATAGACTTGAATAGACACTTCTCCAGAGCAGATATACAAGCAGCTGATAAGATACCACCTCACACCTATTAGGATGGCTTCTGTCAAAAAAAAAAAAAAATGGATAGGTGTGCACCTATAGGCTCAGCCACTCTGGAGGCTGAGGCAGGAGGATTGCTTGAGCCTAGGAGTTCAAGGATATAGTATGTGATGATGGTACCTATGAATAGCCTCTGCACTCCATCCTGCGCCACATAGCAAGATTCCGTCTCTAAGAGAAAAAAAAGTGTTGGCTTTTTAATTTATATAAAAATCTTCTATTTCTCTATATCCTTATATGGAGAAATTAAAACCTTTGTGCACCTCTGGTAGGAAGGTAAAATGGTATAGCCACTATGGAAAACAGCCCAGCAATTTCTCAAAACATTAAAAATAGAATTACCATATGATCCAGCAATTTTGCTTTGGGGTATAGATGCAAAATAATTGAAAACAGGTTTCAAAGAGATGTTTTACACCCCTGTTCAAGCACCGTTACTCACAATAGCCAAAAGGCAGCAGCCACCCAAGTGTCTAGTGGAGAAACAAAATGTGATATATACATGCAGTGGTGTATTACTCGGTCTTGAAAAAGAAGGAAGTTCTGATACAAGCTGCAACATGGATGGATCTTAAGAACATTATGCTAAGTGAACTAAGCTGGTGACAAAAAGATAAATACCGTATGATTCTTTTTATATGAGCTACCTAGCATTGTCATATCCATAGAGACAGAAAGATACAGAATGGTGGCTGCTAGATGCTAGGGGAAGAAAGTAGCAGGGACTTGCTGTTTAATAGGTTTTATGTAGAGTTTCATAGTTTCAACCTAAAGAGTTTTGGAGACTAGTTTCACAACAGTGTGAATGTACTTAACAGTACTGAACTGTACATGTAAAAATGGCTAAGATGAAAGTTTTATATGTATTTACCATGTTTTTTTTAAAAATTTGATAACATCACATCTGTGCAGTAAATTATTTAAATAAGTACATAATTGTATTAAGAAATGGAAGACATAAAGCAAGCTAAAACGTTTAAATCATTTATTATTGGTACAGCAGATTTTCAAATATAGCACTAAAGATTCAGATTACTGACTAGGCACAGTGGCTCACATCTGTAATCCCAGCACTTTGGGAAACCGAGTCAGGCAGATCACTGGAGGTCAGGGGTTCGATAACAGCCTGGCCAACATGGCGAAACCCCGTCTCTACTAAAAATACAACAATTAGCTGGGCATCATGGTATGTGCCTGTAAGAATCACTTGAACCCAGGAGGCAGAGGTTGCAGTAAGCCGACATTGCGCCACTGCACTCCAGCTTGGGTGACAGAGCGAGACTCCACCTCAAAAAAAAAAAAAAAGATTCAGATTACTCATAAACTAGCTGGACCTTCTTGTTTTTTTGTGTGAATCCTTAGATTTCCTCTAGAAAATTAGGATTTGAATCAAGTAAAGCAAACAGAATGGTTTTTTCTTACATGCATGAAAAATTCTCCTGTGATAATGATGGTATGGTTATCTTAAGTAAAAATAACCTCTTTCTAACAATAGAATAGCTTTTTAAGTAAATTTTTCAATCTTGCCATTTTTTTTTTAAGAGAAATACCAGTAGACAGACAAAGCCACTCAAAGTTCAAGTTATGCATTCGTCTATCGTCGCACATCAGAATTTCGGTTTGAAACTTTTGTCTTGGCTGGGAAGTATTATTGGATATTCAGGTAGGTTCAAGAAAGTTTATGCTAATTGTCTATTAAAAATGAGCTCAGTATGCCCTTGCAAAACTGTTTTGGGAAACATCAAATGGAATAATTTCCTGCTTTAATTTTATATTTTAAAATACCATCTTTATGCATAGAGGACAACCTATGTTTAATCAATTTTGTCATACTGGATATTTTTATATGCACACAAGGGATTCTCTGTTCAAATAAATGTAAGAAACATTGGTTTAAACAATTGTAAAGGACATTAATATGCTAATGCAATGCAATGTACATTTCACAATTTTTTAAAAATTTTAGTGGAGCATTTTGTGGAACTCTTCTGAGTAAGCTGGAAAAATCCTATTGTAAATAAAACCTAAGTGATTAACAGTTTAAATGATAAAACAATAATGTTGATTTATTTGTTTTGACTCCTCCTACCACTTTTGGTTACCAATAATTTGTAACTCTGAAAATTTGCTAATTGTAAGTTACCAATTTGTGTTTTAAAAAAAAATTTTCGGCTGAGCGCAGTGGCTCACGCCTGTAATCCCAGCACTTTGGAAGGCCCAAGCGGGTGGATCACCTGAGGTCAGGAGTTCAAGACCAGCCTGGCCAACATGGCAAAACCCCATCTCTACTAAAACTACAACAATTAGCCGGGTGTGGTGGTGTGCACCTGTAATCCCAGCTACTCAGGAGGCTGAGGTAGGAGAATCACTTGAACCCAGGAAGCAGAGGTTACAGTGAGCCAACATCATGCCACTACACTTCAATCTGGGCAAAAGAGCAAAACTCCATCTCAAAAAAAAAAAGAAAAGAAAAATTCCAGAGTGTAGAAATTTGATCATTTTTCTTTATGTAATGGTAAGAATTAGGAATCCTCATATCTGCAGCCAAAAATACTAGCCTGGTGTGTAACACTAAAGGGTAAAACAGGGATAGATATAGGCTTTCGTGCTGTTCTTCAGGTAAGACTGTAGATAAGTGACATTTGGATGTTTAAAGAAAAATTTGAATACATTTGCATCGAAGGGCTTTTAGAAAAGAACATTACTACCCTGAATTGAGAGTTGAAAATACAGAGGTGTGGAAGTTTAAGAGAACACATTTACTTGACTTTTAAATTATCTTTCCAGGCTAGGCATGGTGGCCCACTCCTGTAGCCGTTAACACTCCGGGAGGCCAAGGTGGGAGGATCCCTCAAACCCAGGAGTTCATAGAACAGCCTGGGTAACACAGGGAGACCCATCTCTACAAATTTTTTAAAAGGAAATAAATAAATAAATATATCTCCAGTTATTTTTCTTAGCCCTTTATTGTGGTGTTTTCCATTGGATACCTATACACCAAGTGTTGTGCTACACTATTAATTAATAGTATAATAGAAGTAATGTCCTGCTGAAACTTTTCTTTGAGATATTTATCATCAATAATTTACATATTCCTATTTAATACTTACATAGGTCTTCTCTTTCGCCTTTTAAAGGATTTCTGTTTGACAGCTTTTATAATTAAAAATTACTTTTTTTTTTTATTTTGCATGCTTGAAAAAGATAAAACAATGATTTAAAAGTATGGGGCCAGGCACAGTGGCTCATGCCTGTAATCTCAGCACTTTGAGAGGCCAAGGCAAGTGGATCACTTGAGCTCAGGAGTTCGAGACCAGCCTGTCCAACATGGTGTGAAACCCCATCTCTACTAAAAACACAAAAATTAGCCAGGTGTGGTGGCACACACCTGTAATCCCAGCTACTTGGGAGGCTGAGGCACGGGAATTACTTGAACTCAGGAGACAGAGGCTGCAGTGAGCCAAGATCACATCACTGAACTGCAGCCTGGTGACAGCATGAGACTCTTGTCTCAAAACAAAAAAACAAAACAAAACAACAAAATATATGTATACACACACACACACACACACACATAGTTTTATATGTATATGTATGGAACAAATAGGTGTTAAAGCTTTGGTTATTTTAATGCTTACATTAATATTTGAGGAACTTTTCTGAAATTTACTTTTAAAAGGTTGTAGTAATATGTCTTCCAGGATCTCTCACATAGCAGGTCCACAATAAGTTTTGGTTTAATGATGAAGAACGTTTTATGTAGCATTAATAAAATGCACTGGTATATATTATAGTACAGAAGTCATGCATTTCTCCTTTTAAACTGTAGCACATTTTATATTTATCTTCAGTTATGGAATATATAACACTTTTATTGTAATCTGGTTTAATTAGCATAAGTGCTTGAAGAACAATATTAAGTGATTTTTAGATGTTTTTCTCTTTAATTAAATTGATTAAAGCACAAGAGGTTATTGCCTTTATGTCAGACATATATTTTGACCTTCAGGAGTAGTAGCCTGTAATGTGAGATTTGAAATTTATATCCATTTTGTTAAAATATTAATAAAATAGTTAATATGTTTGCTTTTTCTGAATAAATTTGACCTTTAGTAAAACATTTAAAACTCTATGGATCTGTTTGAACATCTACTCAAATGTCACTTTACTTTAATATTTGAAGTTGCTATCTCATAACTACTTTTCCTTCTATTTAAAGATGGCCTTCGCCGAATTTTATGTCAAGTTGGTTTACAAGAAGGGCCAGATGGTGAAAATTCTTCTCTAGTGGACAGACTGATGCTTAGTGACTCCAAATTATGGAAAGGTGAATCTCTTAACTACTTTTAAGGTGTAGAGGAACCTATATAAGTAATTGGGATGTGAAAGATTTTTATCATTTGGGAAGATACTTAACAAATATATTTGTGCTTTTTAAAATTAGCATTGCAGTCTTAGTCTTTGAAAAATATAGATTTGGGGGGGTGGGGAGGTCCATGATCCAACTTAAATGGCCTTTACATTTTGTTAGAAAATTATGTTTAGAAAACTTGATTTTATAAATAAGCAGATAGCAAATATTTTGTGCTAAGGAAAACATGTATTTTGCTCTTTTTTTGAAGGGACAGGATGTCACACTGTTGCCCAGACTGGAGTGCAGTGCCATGATCATTGGTCACTGCAGCCTTGAACTCCTGGGCTCAAGCAATCCCCACTTTTCAGCCTCCCTAGTAGCTGGGAATACACGTGCATACCACCATGTCTGGCTTAGTTTTGTATTTGAGGCTTAAAATACAAGTCAGTCTCAGTGGTGTCTGCCTGTAGTCCCAGCTACACAGGAGGCTGAGGCAAGAGGATCACTTGAGCTAAGAGTTTGATTTCAGCCTGGGCAACAAAACAAGACCCTATCTCTTTTAAAAAAAAAAAATACTGTGTTGGCTAAGCATGGTGGTTCACACATGTAATCCCAGCACTTTGGGAGGCTGAGGCAGGAGGATCACTTGAGCCCAGGAATTCAAAACCAGCCTGGGCAACACAGCAAGATACTGTCTCAGAAAAAAAAAAAAAAAAAAATGGTGGATCACATAAAACTTGAGAAATAGAACTGTTTGGTGTGTCCTTATCTTATACTGTGATCTTTTTCTACAAGGTGCTAGGAGTGTATATCATCAGTTGTTCATGAGCAGTCTGCTTATGGATTTGAAATACAAGAAGCTGTTTGCTGTTCGATTTGCAAAAGTAAGTGGTTTTTCAATTCTGAAAACAGTTTATATATAGAGTAACTATGCCCATAATTATATCTAGGCTGCAAAAAATTAACATCTAATAGTAATATATCAGGGTGTTGATATTAAATTTTATGAAACATCTTAAATAATTTTTTTGTTTTTTATAAATAGAATAAAATTGTAGCAATGAGACTTTTTGTTCATCACCTCCTATGATGAATATCCATCTATGCAGTGTTTATGAAATAATAAATGAAGAGTTTAAACCTATGCCATTGTGAATTATTGTATTTTTTCTATTAAAATTCACATAAGGAAACTAATCTCTGTTTAAATGACATATATATGGATATGATTTAATAAATATATTTGTGCATTTTGAAATTAGCATTGCAGTCTTAGTCTTTGAAAAATATATATTTTTTTTTGGCAAGGGGGGCATGATCCAAATTAAATAGCCTTTATATTTGTTAGAAAATCATATTTAGAAAACTTTGATTTTATAAATAATTAGACTGCAGATATTTTGTGCTGAGGAAAACATGTATTTTGCTCGTTTTTTTTGGAAGAAACAAGGTCTCTTCAAAACTCTAGGTTGTTGATATAGTTGAATTAAGTTCTCCCTTTTAGCAGCATGTGCTAAGCTAACCACTTACTTTTTGCATTCGCCTGAATTAGGAAGTATATCAGAATCACTTGGAGAGCTCTTTCAAAATACATGGGTTGTATTTCATTCTCAAATCTACTGAAGCAGATTCACCAAGAGTCATTAGATGATTCTGATGTGATCCAGAACTAATGAAAGTCTGGTTTCATCACAAACAGTGTAATACTGCTGTGGTTTAGCTCCACCAGCGTACAGTGGCATCCTGGGAGCTTAGTAGTTGTTACTTCCTATTTGGGCTGGTAAACTGCCATTGTGCTCCAGAAGAAAGAATCAATATTATACAGAATTCCACAGATTACATGGTGAATCAATGTCTGTACAGGAGTCTATTGGTAGAAATCATTCCAGTTATTGTTCTCATAGCAGTATTATCTTCTTGACTTCCTCCAGCACTGACTTTTCATTATAATTCGTAAATATTTGGTCAATGTGGATTAGAGGTGAATCTCCCCCTTGTTGTTTAGAATTACCAGCAGTTGCAGAGAGATTTTATGGAGGATGATCACGAACGAGCAGTGTCGGTGACTGCTCTGTCTGTCCAGTTCTTCACCGCACCTACTCTGGTGAGTAGTGCTTGCCTTTTCTTTGTAACTGATAGCTGGCACTCCTTGCCTTTTTTTGCCTTCTTAATAGAACTATGAGCGTTTGCAGAGTGATTATGTGACAGATGACCACGACAGAGAGTTTTCAGTCGCAGACCTCTCGGTTCAGATATTCACAGTTCCTTCACTTGTAAGTACTGAAAGACTAGAAGAACTTTCTTGTTTTCCATTAACGGAATTAAAGCCTTAAAGTAATAGAGAATAAAGTCTGTGTATTCCTGAGTAGAATAGTATTTTATTAATGAGTAATCATACTTCAGATACCTTCAAATATTTTTATACTAGAGTATAACCTTGAATATCAAGGTAATCTATGGCGGGGGGGGGGCCGGTCATTTAAACTTAATTTCTACTTTCTCTTCAAGTAAAGGAGGGAGAAACAATCTGTAATTTCTCATAGTACTTTCCTCAAATTTTGAACTGTTTAGTTCACGTTAAGCCAGTTGATTTTACAAATGATCCTTGGCATTAGAATTAGACAGCATATTGTATACTATCTCACAGTTTGAGAAGTCCTCCCCCCAACTCCCTCCCAAAAGGGGAGATGCAGCTAAGGCAATTGAATCATGAAGATTGGGTGGTCTTTTACTGAGCTTCATGAGTTGCTCATGGAGGCATCATTATGTTTTAGTGCTATACATAATTAAAATTTATATGTAATTTGTTCAACAAATTTAAGAAACACCTATTTATTGGGCACAGTTTTAGACTTTGAGAATGTAACAGTAAACAAAAACAAATGTGATCCTTGCCCTCATCAAACTTACCATAGTGGGAAAGACTCACATAAAGAGTTAATTAAAATCACCATGAAAATTTGCTTGGTTTGAGAGAGAATAACAAAAGACCTGACCTTTTTCCATAGTTCAGGGCCTTTATGCAAGGGCATGAGGGAAGGAAGGTCCATGCAGAGGGACGAGCAATTGAGAAAACCTGGAGTAATAGGGCAGAGCATTACCTCTACAGCTAATAGAAGACCAGTACACTTGAAGATCCTTGAACCTGGGGTGAAATTGTATAGGTTTAAGAGCATTTTATAGTTACTTTATTAATAAGGCATATTAAAAATAGCTGACTTTTTTCCCATATTACTTTTATGTTAAAGGACATATTCTAATACAGTGGAAGGTGTCTAGAGTCTGTTTACCCATTAATGAGCCATTATGATAGGTCAAATTAAAGATTTTGTATTTTGTCTTAAGAACATGAGAAGGCATTAAAGAGTTTTAAGTGGTATTTACATCATTATAGTTGTGATTTTAAAAGATCATACTGTCTAATTTGGAGAACAAATTGGAGGAGGGTAAAAATGAGTGTGGGAAACCTAATTAGATGCTAATGCAATGACCCAGGCAAACATTGATGGTAACTTGAACTGGGATGCTAAAAGTGGCTATGAATCATGAGGGATATTTTTAGGTGGTAAAATCTACAGAACTGGCCAAGTGGGTTTGAGGGTTTTTGGATTTGCTGATGAATTGGATGTTGGGTTTGAAGAAGCATGAGGATGATTTGCAAGTTTCTGGCTTGCAGTTGTGTAGATGTCATACCACTTGCTGAGATACAGTGAATTTTGGAGAATGATTAGCATTTGTAAAGAAGGAAAGTGATGCTTTCAGTTTTGTCAGGGTTGAGTTCCAGAAGGCTCTAAGACGATCCTATGTTTATTCGTAACTGTGCTTCCCTCCTCCATTGATCTTTTTGCCCATTTCCATGCCAGTACCACAGTTGTAATAATTATTTATAGCTTAATATTCCATTTTGACATCTTAAATCCCATTTCATTTGATAGCTTAAATCTCTTTTCATTATTACTTTTCAAAACGTTTCCACTTATTCTTAGGCCTTTTTTAAAAAGATAAAATAAAATCAGATAGTCAGTTGCCAAAAACCACATTAGAATTTTGACAAAGACATCGTATTTATAGATTTAATTTAGGAAGCACTGACATCTTTGCAATATTGAATACCCCAACTAGGAATACAGTTTGTTTATTCAAATGTTATTTTATGTTTTTGTTAAAAGCTTCATAGTTTTCTCATTATAAACTTTACTTAAAAAAATTTTTTTTCATTCTCATTTTTGGCTGGGCACAGTGGTTCATGCCTGTAATCCTAGCCGAGGCAGGTGGATCACCTGAAGGCAGGAGTCCAAGACTAGCCTGGCCAATATGCTGAAACCCCATCTCTACTAAAAATACAAAAATTAGCCGGGCATGGTGGCGTGCACCTGAGGCTGCGGCAGAAGAATCACTTGAACCCAGAGGCAGAGGTTGCAGTGAGCTGAGATTGAGCCATTGCACTCCAACCTGGGTGACAGAGCAAGACTCTGTCTCAAAAAATGTTCTCTCTCTGTCACCCAGACTCGAGTGAGATGGCACAATCAGGGCTGCAGCCTTGACCATCTGGGCTCAGGCAAACCTCCTGCCTCAGCATCGCAAGTAGCTGGGACCACAGGTGCATGCCACTACACCCAGCTAGTCTTATACATTTTTAAGTTAAGCTTGTATGTTGTACATTTTTGATGCTGTAGTAAACTTTTACATTTTTAAACAGGCTATGGTGAGTATGTAGGAAAACTACTGATGTACATCTTACATTTATCTGGTATATCTGGATATATATGTATTCAGATTAAACAGAGTCTACCAAACTCTTTTCCTTAATAATTGATCAATTCATGCTTCTATAATAACATTTGAAAGTGATACTTTCTCCACATCCTCACCAACACTTTGTTTTACCAGTCTTTTAAAATTTTATGTATTCTAGTGGGACATAGTGGTTTCTCATTATGGTTTTAATTTGCATTCTTCTGATGATGATGAAACTGATTTCCTTTTTATATGTTTATTGGCATTTGGATATACTCCTTTGTGAATGCCTGTTAAAATTGTCCAATGATTATCTAGAGTTGTCTGCTTTTTTCTTATTGATTTGTAAGAGTTTTTCATAGATTCTGCATACATATTCTTTGTTGGATATATATATTACAAATATTTTTTCCACTCTGTGTCTTATCTGTTTTACTCCCTGAATATTAAGTGTCTCTCTCTCTCTCTTTTTTTTTTTTTTTTTTAAAGGCAGTCTTGCTCTGTCCCCCAGGCCTGGAGTACAGTGGCATGATCTCAGCTCACTGCAACCTCCACCTCTCTGGTTCAAGCGATTCTCCTACCTCAGCCTCCTGAGTAGCTGGGACTACTCAGTAATAGTACTACTGCGTGTCTACCTTTTTTTTTTTTTTTGAGGTGGAGTCTTGCTTTGTCACCCAGGCTGGAGTGCAGTGGCACGATCTCCATTCACTGCAACCTCCGCCTCCTGGGTTCAAGCAATTCTCCTGCCTTAGCCTAAGTAGCTGGGACTACAGGCATGCATGACCACACCTGGCTAATTTTTGTCTTTTCTATTTTTGGTAGGGACAGAGTTTCACTATGTCAGCCATGCTGGTCTCAAACTCCTGACCTCAGGTGATCCACTTCACCCGGCCGTACTTTTTGTGTGTTGTTTAAACAATCTTTGTGTATTCCAAGGTCACAAAGATATTGTCCCATGTTTTCTAAAAGCTTACCTTTGCCATTTAAATTCCCAATCCATCTATAATTGATTTTTGTGTGTAGTATGAAGTAAGGACTTGATTTTTTTGGTCCCCTATATAGTTATTCAATTACCCAGAAGTGTTTATTGAAGATGTCATTCTTTCATCTGTTGCATTTCAGGAGCACCTTTGTCATAAATCAGGAAGACCTTTATATGTGTGTCTGCCTCATCTTTGTCCCACTACTACACTGCCTTAATTATAGTAGTTTTGTGAGTCTCAGTATCTGATAGTTAAATCTTCCAGCTTTATTCCTCAGAGTACTTTGGCCATTCTTTTTTTTTTTTTTGAGATAGAGTTTTGTTCTTGTTGCCCAGGCTGGAGTGCAATGGCATCATCTTGGCTCACTGCAACCTCTGCCTCAAGGGTTTAAGCAATTCTCCTGCCTCAGCCTCCTGAGTAGCTGGGATTACAGGCATGGGCCAGCACACCTGGCTAATTTTGTGTTTTTAGTAGAGAGGGGTTTTGCCATGTTGGTCGGGCTGGTCTCAAACTCCTGACCTCAGTTGAGTCACCCACCTCAGCCTCTTGAAAGTGCTGATATTACAGGCATGAGCCACCGTGCCCGGCTGGCCTTGGTCATTCTTAATCCTTTGTATTTCTGTATGAATTTAGATTCAGCATATCAGCTTCCATACACACAAAGAAGCCTTCGTATATTTGGATTTAGATTGAAATTAATATGTCCATCAGTTTGAGAAGAATTGATATCTTTACAATATTGAGTCTTCTGCCCCATGAACTTGATGTATTTCTATATTCATTTAGTTTTTTTAAAAAATTTTATTACAGTAATTTATAGTTTTCATTATAGAGGGCTTCCCACTCTTCTTTTTTGTTTTTTGGTGGTTTTTTTGTTTGTTTGTTTTTTGTTTTTCTTTGAGACAGATTCTTGCTCTGTCGCCCAGGTGGAGTGCAGTGGCACAATCTCAGCTCCCTGCAATCTCTACCTCCCAGGTTCAAGCAATTCTCCTATCTCAGCCTCCCTAGCACCTGGGATTACAGATACCTGCCGCCATCCCACCCGGCTAATTTTTGTATTTTTAGTAGAGACAGGGTTTCACCATATTGGTCAGGCTGGTCTTGAACTCCTGACCTCAGGCGATCCACCTACCTCAGTGTCCCAAAATGCTGGGATTACAGATGTGAGCCACTGTGCCTCACCCCCCACTCATTTTTGCTTAGATTTGTTTCTAGGTGTTTTGGTTTGGTTTGGTTTTTGGCAGGGGCGGGGAGAGATTTTTTTTAGGGTTTTTTGTTTGTTGTTGGTTTTTTTTTTTTAATGGAGCCTCACTCTGTTGCTCACACTGGAGTAAAGTGTTGTGGTCTCAGTTCACTGCAACCTCCACCTCCCAGTTTCAAGTGA